GCGGTTGTTGGGTTGTGTCACTGGGGCTGTGTCAGGCTCTGGGGTGTTTACGCTGCGCAGCGTGAGGAGCCCGCAGCCGGCCCGTGCCCCGGGGCCTCTGGGCTGGCCTCTTTCTGTCTGGGCCAGAGGAAAACAGAGGCAGGAAAAAAAAAAACACCAACCCAGCTTTGATGCTCCTGGGAAAAATTGTGATATTTCCAATTGTCAGTGTGACCTCCCTGCCCTCAGCTTGCTGTCTGAAACTCGTTTCTTTTGTCACCGCTTAGCTGCCCTGGTGACGTGTCCCTGTGCAGAGCTGGTTTTATTTGGAAAATAACTGCAGTAAATGTGTCTTCACAGAATCACAGAGTGTTCTGGCTGAAAGGGATCTTTAGAGGTCATCCAGTCCAGCCCCCAGTGTTGATGGACAGGTGCACACTGACATAAGAAATACCAGGAGTAAGATCTTGTGTTCTGTCCTTTGGAGGGGGTGTCAGCACATTCTTTACTGTTGTTTGTGTGGGGTGGGCCGTGGTGGCACCTCATGGGCACAGAAAACAGGTGATTTGGAACAAAAGTACCCCGTGCCAGATGGTGTTAAAGGGAAAAGATTCACACTGCCCTTGGTGCTGCCCCTGTGGGGCCCTGACAGAACCCAGCATCTCCTCACAGCCCTGCCCTGGTGCTGCTGGCTTTAGCTCGCACCATCGTTTCCCTCCAACACCCCCTTCGGCAGATGCTCGTTAGTTTTGCATGTCCTTGACACAAATTGCCTTCTCCTGCTGCCTTTCATGGCTCCCAGTGCACCTTCCAGGTTCGATGGAGAGGTTTGTGCCTTCTGTTCTCTTTATCCTTCACCCCAGCTGGGGAGGAGGAAGAAGCCGGTGTTCTCCAGTGGCCTTTCCCTGCGGTTCTGCTCACCTGGGAGGTCTGCAGCTCCAGCAACAGACAGGAAAAATTCAGTGCACAGTGCTGATGATTTTCTTTGCTGGCCCTAGTGTGGTTTGACTGTGAGGGAGTGGAGGCAGCAGCGTGGAGATGGGGGTTGCAGTTCAGGAGCCCCTGAGCGCCCGCGTGCTGCGGTGGAGCTGTGTCTGGGGCAGGGACAAGGTTCTGTCTGTCGGGAGTGTCCCTCCTGGTGTGCTCCTGTGGCAGCTCAGGAGGTGAGTGGAGATCCCCAGGCGGGCCGTGAGGCTTGGCCCAGGCTCCGAGTGCTGATTAGAGGTTCCTCAGCTTAACAAGCATTAAGATAGGGGCTGGAAGGGAGCTGGAATGAAAGGCATGAGGGCGTGGGGCTGTGGGAGGTCATTGGTGCCAGTGTCAGCTCTGAGGCTGCTTCTTTCACACCCGCTTCACAGTCCCAGCCCCTGACAGATAAAAGGAAAGATGAAAGTGGCTGAGCTGAAATACAGGAATTTCATCGTTTCTTCTTTTTCTTAACCCTTCCAGGTCTGGGTTTTAAAACAAATTTGACTAATAGCTTTCTACTTATGATAAGAAATGTTTTCCTTGGCACTTGAGGCCGTATGATTATGACGTCGTTGGAAGATTAAAGGCACTTTTTTTTGGCACTGTAGGCTTATTTGGTCTTTAAAAACATGCACACCCTCTGCCATTCTGACTTACCCGTGCCTCTCAAGAACTGCTTTGTAAAAGAAATCTCCCTGTGTCTGCAGGTGGTACAAGCTTCGCTCCAAACCAGGGAAAAAGGAGAAGGAGAGGGGGGAGATCGAGGTGGATATCCAGTTCATGAGGAGCAACATGACAGCCAGCATGTTCGACCTGTCAGCGAAGGACAAGCCCCGCTCCCCCTTCGGCAGGCTCAGAGACAAGCTGAAGGGCAG